ATTGGACTCTGCAGAAGTGGTCTTTGGCTCTTGGACAACTCTTCTAATATATAACTTTAACTCCCCTGTCAGAAACCTTCACCTGGTGTTGGTCAGTTTATTGTGAAATAATCTTCTTTCCACTTCCGGATTATGGTCCCAACAGTGCTGTCTGGTCAAAGGTCTTTAGAAAACTCTTTACTTTTCCCCTTTATGAGATTTTTCCTGTTTGGTACCAGAGACACCTTTTATAGGCTATAATTTGGGACTGATCCAGCTGATATTTATTTTCACTGACAAGGGGCGGGATTGCTTTCTAATTAGTGAGAGATTTTGCTGTTGTCTAGGCTTTCCATGCCTAACCCTAACCCACACTGGTGTGTTTAGTACTTATTTCACCAGCAGGAGCTGCATTAATCTTCAAAACAACTATTTAGTTCTCTTGGCATGGGAGAGCAAAATATTCCCCATAGCATGAAGATATTTCAACATGTTTTACCGTAGCAAAGGCTTTTCTTTCAACATAGTGGTTTGAATGTTTTTCAAAACTTTCGAGAAGGGTAACATCTTTAACATGTTTGGCACTTTCTGTCATAATGGGCTTTAAAGATCTGAGCCACATGCAGAGAAACAGTCAGAGACCAATGGTAAAAGTTAACAGGTTTATTAAAGGTTTGCAGAGAAACACAGACGGAAAGAGATATTCTGCTGGGTTATAATGTTGGACCTCAGTGGACTGGTGAACCAGAACCGGAAACTCTGAAGGGAAGGTCACTATGATCAGTTCAAGGACCATGGGAAACAAAGACTGAGGCTTGTATTTTGCTGGAGGGGCACTCACGCTTTGGGGGGCTCTTGGTTATTGATTTGATGCAGTTTGTGCGGTTTAATCCAGAGAAGAAGGAACTCGTTGGAGAACGGACAGGCAGACTAACGGTGGAGCCAGAGGAGTAAAGGAGCGGACTGTCACCTGGTTTTCCAGAGGTGGACTTGAACGCATCATGTGGAGGTTTCTTCTTGCTCAGTGTGACTCAGATTATCCTTCCAGGGAGGTAGAAGGTCCAGGCTTATCCAGTGTTTCAGGAAGGCTTCCTGCCAAAGAACAAAGACAAAACAAGCTTAGACTAAAAGAGACAAGACTAAGGTTAGACTCTGCTAATCTCAGTATGGCTAGAGTACCCAACACTGGCAAACACTCTGGCATAGAGGTAGTGACAGCCTGCTGCTCATATACTCCTCTGGTAATGACCCAATGAGCCGCTGGTGTGCAGGGAGATCCAACGAGGACAGGGCACCATCTGGTGGTGGAGAGAAGAAAAACACGAAAACAACCCAGACAAACTGGAATCCTAACACTTTCTATGCTTTCTTTGAACAGTGGCTTTCATCATTCCAGTGATTCCTAAAGACCAGATTTGAAAAACGTACAAAGCTAATAAGTGTCAAAAGTTTCTCCCACGTAATATATCAATCTTTGCATTTTATCCAGAATAATCATGTTTTTCTAGTTTTTTTATTGTGGCTATCCTTGACATGGATGCTTTCAATAACTGCTGACATGTCTGAACTGTTTTTCTGACACATTTCTAAGACCTTTTCGATTACATTTATGGGAGGAATAATCAAAGGATGTATCTTATATTTTTTGAAAAAAAATTGTCATATTTTCCTTCACCTTACCATCATGTAACCTGGCGTAACCCAGAATGATTTAGCTCCATTTGAATTCTACACATTATCAATCTGGTAAGACTCCTGTAGAAGGTTTTGCAAAAGGGCGGGACATTCAATTCTTCCATCTGATTGGGAATATCCAGTTACACTTGCCTCCCATGTTGAGCGTTTAGCCAATCACAGCAGCAGCATCGAGATCTGACGTATTATACCCTTGGTTTGTTTCACAACTAGCAGAGTTACCTGCTGATTCAGACTCTTACCAAATCCAGGTTGGGAAAGATGTTTCCCACCCACCAAGGCAAAAATCTCTTATTTTGCTCGTCTTTGAGAAAGAAATAGAGCGTATTTCTGCTCAAACTACCGCGGCCATTTTTGCTTCAGCCTTCCACCTCTGGTTGACGCGATGAAATCATAGACATCCCTGCATTTCATTGGTCCAAAACATTTCTGTATTGAGGCTAATGCATCCATTGGCCTCTGGCAAGATAAGTGTTTGTGAGTTTGTGAATTCACAAAACTTATGATATTTCATTTTGCTTGCAAGGTAAACAATCATGCTTTAGGTTAGGCATCCCCAAAGTTGGTCCCCGAGGGCCACCGTCCTGCAGGTTTTAAAGGTTTCCTGCTTCAGCTCAGCTGATTTCCATTGATAGCTGATTAACAGGCTGTTTTTCTGAACTGCAGTCATCAAAATCAGCTGTGCTAAAGCAGGGAAAACTGTAAAACCTGCAGGACAGCAGCTCTAGGGACCGACTTTGAGGATGTCTACTTTAGGTCTTCCTTTAGGTCACACTGAATCTATCATCCAACCATTTTCTGTCCTGCTTATCCCTGCTGGGTTGGCGAGGGATGCTGGTGCTGTCTATGGGTGAGAGGAGGGGTCCACCCAGAACAGGTTGCCAGTCTTTCTCAGGGCAACCACACTGAATCTAAGCAGATTAAATTTAGTTGACATAACATAAAAAAGACTGAGGACTCTTACTACAGTCTGTAAATGTTACTGAAATTGTTGACTTTATAAAGTTGATCAGACTTGATCTGTGAAAAATACGGAGAGTTATGCCTGAAGTTACACAGCTGTGTGAAGTTCTTATTGTTCTTTTAAATCATTATTATAAATTAAAAACATATTAAAGAATTAAACTAAAACACAATTTCAGATTAGTCAACTCTATTATTAAAAAATCCAATCCAATCCACTTTATTTATATAGCACGATTTAAATAAACACAAGGTTTCCAAAGTGCTGCACAAAAAGATAAAATAACTAAAATAAATAAAAGTAAATAAAATAAAATACAAGCACTGCCCGCACAGCATAAAAATATGCATGTGTATACATAAAATCAACATGTGTATAAAATCAACACTCTACATGGTGTCAAAAAAGTGCAGAAGTTTAAGCGGAAAAGTCAAGCCCCTAGTTAAGCTTAAAAATAAGGTGTCTATGTTGTGACCAACCAGCTGACATGATCTCCAGGATCAGCGCCATTTTCAGGGGTGGTAGCAGTTGTAAGTAAATATGAGGTCATGAAAATGAAGGATAAGCTTCTGCCCTTTTAACAATTAGATGGTCTGATAGGAGAGCAGAGTCTGAGTGCGCCACAGCCACTGATCTGTCTGATGAGATTAGCCAGCAGGACCTCTCTTCTCAAACTAATTTAAAAAATGCATCTTCGTTCAACCAGGCCGTCCCTCCTCCTCATCTGCTGCATGGATAGACCTGTGGAAAGAAAAAAAGCGGTAAATTGTCAAACCAGGAAGGCATGAAAACCTGAATGCTGCAATTTTTTCTGTGTCTCTTTAAATAAAGAAAATTAAATAAAGAATTCTAATTAGTATTTTTGTTATGAATATGTGCTAATAAATCAACTTTCCTTCCTTTCCAGGGATAAATTGCTGTTTTCCATGTGCATTCACCTACGTTTTTCCCAGTGCTCCATAAACGTTTTTAAAATGCTTCATCTGGAGTTTTTTGCTTGGTCCAAAAAAAGGTTAAAATAAAATAAATCACTATCGGTGAAAGCTTTTGCAGGAAGGCAAAAATGGAAAAACAGCTGTTTGATCTGCTCCCGTCTCTGTTGCATAACCTTTTCTGTATCCCATTTGTCTCTTTTAGATTGCAAGTGTTTAGCTTTTTGCTGCCATATAATTTCACAATCAAATGGCTTCACCATGATTAATGAAATGTGTCCAAATTTCCAAAAATCCTGTTTATAATTTTTGAAACATCAAAATTAATGAAAACACAGATGTTCACCAATAACCAGAAGTAGCAAGTTCTCCTGCATGCAGCTCCTCATAGTTTAGCTGCTTTACCTGAAAATGATTTGGGCTGCATGGTGGAATGATGGTTGCCACTACAATCCGTTTGTAAAAAAATCTGCCATTATCACGGCCTGCCCTGATTATCAAGAAATGGCCAAGGCCAGAAAACAAGAACTGATGGATAAGATTAAACCCTTACCGTACAGTGCTTTTTTTCTTTTGGTTTTTTATTTTTTTTATCTTGCAGCATCTTTATGTCCAGGAGCTAAGAAAAGAAACTCCAGAAAGTTGTATAAGACATACTTTTTAGCAACGCAATAACACAAAACAAACTAGGAACCAATTTTCTGATGTAAAATGTAAATAATTAGCTTCAGCATTTCTACTGAATCAGATAAAGAGGAGGATTTGGGGGTGGGGGCGTGGCCTGATGCCTACTGCGCCATATCCAACTGGAAAACAATGCTGAAGAGCAATAGAATAGAATAGAATAGAATAGAATAGAATAGAATAGAATAGAATAGAATAGAATCGAGAATCTCTTTATTGTTCCCCAATGTGGAGATTCTGGTGTTTACAGCAGCAAAAATATGGTCACACAAAATGGATCATTAGAAAATTTAGAAAAATGTACAAGAATAACATAATAGTGAAGAGTTAAAAGATAAACAATAAAATACTGTAAAGTTTTTTAACAATATAAAACTGGAGAATAAATAACCAATATGCAGCAATGGACATTTTCCCAGTAATGGATATTTGAAAATAGCAGCAACATCAGAGATGTGCAGAATGACAGCAGCAGGTTATTTAACTGACTAAGGTAGAAACTGAGCAGAATCAGCATGAATGGAAGAACTGGTTGAGGTTGCTGGGAACAGTGGTGGTTCTAGAGTCTTCCAGCTGCTGGGAGGAAGGATCTGTGATAACGCTCCCTGGTGCATTTAAGGTGCAGCAGTCTGTCACTGAAGGAGCTGTCCAGTTCAGCACCAGCTTCATGCATAAAAAATAAGCTTTTGATCTTTTCAGATAACCACCAAAGACTGAGTCTTTCTTCTTCTTCTGTGTGTTTGCAGATATGTCTGATGTCCCGTGAGATTTGGGAGGCCCCCAGCATCCTGCCCTGGTGCCACACAGCTGGCTAACTAGGATGGAGCACACTCATTCTCTGAGAAACGAGCTAGACTCAGTACTTTCAATAGAGCAGATCCGTGCTATCCGGGCCAACAATGACTATGTGGAGAGACCGGTGGCACTGGAACCGGCATCCCAGTCAGGATTCTACTACGCCCATGAGGACCGTATCGTATACAGCCATCACCCCCAGCCTTCCTCTCTCTCCTCTGCTCTGTCCCGTAGTCAGAGTCAGCAGCAGCATGCTCATCTGGCCCACCTGAGCCGCTCCAGCACAGTAAGCTCCTCCATTTCTCGGACCAGCGCCACGTCCGACCAGCGGCTTCTGGCAGGTTTGACTCCATCTCACTCTGGCTTTAGCACGGCTGTCCACTTTCAGCCTAAAGGGGAGCTTAAGTCCGACACTTCATTTGGTAAAGGGCTAACAGATGATGAACATTTGTTCATCTGTGAGAGGTGTGGTCGCTGTAAGTGTCAAGAGTGCTGCAACCCCCGCCGGCTTCCATCTTGCTGGGCTTGCGGACAACGATGTCTTTGCTCCCCTGAGACCGCCGTGGAGTACAGTACATGCTTGTGTTGTGTGAAAGGCCTGTTCTATCACTGTTCTGCCCAAGATGACGAGGATAACTGCGCTGATCGGCCATGCTCCTGCACTTCAGCCCACGCCTGTGCTCGCTGGAGCACCATGGCCCTGCTGGCCCTCTGTCTGCCCTGCCTCTGCTGCTACCCCCCTGCCAAGATGTGTCTTGCACTATGCCAGTGTGCCCATGACCGAGCCACACGGCCTGGATGCAGGTGCAGCAACACCAACACAGTGTGTCGCAAAATTTCTGCCTCCAACCCTAACGCTGGTTACCCCCCGCTACGAAGCAAAGACCTGGAAAAGTCCCTATGACATATTTAGAGAAGGGAAATGACCAATGCAAAGTGGAGATACCGGCATCCACCTGCCTTCAGATACACCCACCCAACAAACATGCTATGGAAGCGTTATTCTCCTAATACACTTTGAATTTGAATCTCCAGCTCACGGGGGACCAACTATTTATTGTGCCTGTTCATGTTGGAGAGCTAATGCCTGAAACCAGGAGCTCAGCTTGAAGGAGAAACCATCAGTTTACCTTTTAACAATTCTCAGACAGCAAGAACCTCTCTTTGCCTTTTGTCACGTTATCTCAACCTGATAAAATCTATTTATTTATAGTGAAACCTCCTTCCTCCCCACCCTGAGCAAAGAGTCTGAGCAGAACACAGAGGGAAGCGACCCCTGGCGCTGTGTACAATCTTTGCCAACAGGCGTTCTGCTCTCCTGGAACAGAAATCTAGATCAAGTACTCAAATTAATCCTAAGATGCATTTCTTACAATACCAGGAGAAAAGGGAAATATGAACGTTTTTTTGCTATGTTGAACGCTTGACTAGGGCTAAGCAAAGCATCAAGGACATATAGTGACTGCACCCACAATCTGAAACCAAAAAATGGGACCATGCACTGTACTGAGTGAATTTAAATGTTATTAAAGGGGCCCTGTCACGTCGTATGCTAATGAAGAAAACACAACAAAACATTTATTCTTCTTCAGAGATATACGCCAAGCGTTTCTCCTGCTAGTGTTTACTAAGCCGTTTTTAAGCCTGAAAAAGAATGTTTGCAGAAGCATTTAGCGATTGGCGTAAAAAAAAAAAAGAAGCTAGGTAGTATTTTCAGAATGTGACGGGGCCCCTTTAAGATTGTTTGTTACAGAAAAACACTGTGAGGTGGATGGACGATTTTTTCTGCCCAGAACTGAACTGGGAATTATTTAACCAGAGAGGATGCATCAGTTGTGTCATGGTAGCGTGTGAGGCCGTGTGCAAATGTGTTTATGCGTCCTCCTGCTGTACAACCTTTGTGCGCATGTTGTGTGTGTGTGAGTGTGTTGTTTGGTCAGCAGAAGAAGCCTCCTTGTCTTTATTTTTAGCTTTATTCAAGCACCAGGGGTCTGGTCAGGTTTCCTCTTCAAGTCAGCCTGTCGCCAGCCTCACGGTGCTCTCCAACCTCCATCTTCCGTCTCCACCTCTCTTTTTTATCTATGCGCTCAACCACCAATCAGGTAATACCAGGGTTAGGATTAGCTCTGTTAATAGCCAACATTAGCTTTGGAAGAACTTGGTTTTAGATCTGAGAAAATGAAACGTTTTGAAGCAATGCCGTCTGATGAAGGCTGAGCTCAAAGAGATGGAAGAGAACCACGATTCAACCAAAAAATATGCAAGTGGCCTTTATATTGTATCTCCCTACTGCCTCGTCTTTCTTCCCTCTACAGCTCAGAGGGCTAAAAGCCTCGAGTTCCAGGCCCACAGAGAGTTGATCAAACAGGCAATTAGCTTCCTGTTAGCCCTTAATGGGCCATAGAAGACTGGAGTGTGGGAGGGAGAGAGGAGAGCCAACAGGATGCAAAGAGTTGTGGTGTTTGGCAGATGGAGAGAGGGATGCTAAGAGGGGAAAAAAGCTTGATATTGCAATGAGGTCATCCTTTTTTATTTCAGCACTTCAGACTTCGATGCAGGGGTAATGCAAGAGAGATTCTCCAAAATGGAGCTTCTAAAGTGAACGAAAACAACAAACACGTTGATTTGGGTGTGGATTAGTATGAAGGTGGGGGCATATGCAAACATGTTCAATGTCTGTGTGTGTGAGTTTAAGAATGATTGCATTTTAGCTTGTCTGAGCACTTAAGCACTGACCTTCACACTGACCTGTTTGTTTGCTATATTTTTATATGTAATTGTGGACCATCTACTGTATAAATATTTTTATTCTGTTTCATGTTCTGACACTTATTGTTTTCCATTTGCAATGTCCTGTTTTACCAAACACTGGTGAGCTTTTCAGAAACGTTTGGGGCAACTCTCAGGTGCTGCACAGATCCCAGTTACAAAAGGCATTGTGAAATAGAAAACTGTTCTTTTTCAAATTTAAAGCTAAAAAAAAACAATTTTAAAGGTCACTTTCCTCAAAATTTACCATACCAGCCTAAAGAACAGGACAATTAAAAATAATCTGCTTTCTTTACTTTACTGTCAATTATATTTCTGTTTGTTCATGGAGGAAATGTTAGTATTAGACCAAGAAAACGTTGATAAATAAAAGGTGCAAGTTTGCACCTTTTTTTCTTTAAACCACTGAGACGTACATTAACTTTGGATCATTGTCCATAAAATGTTTATTCATTATTCCAGAACAGTCCATAGATATCCCATCAGTCTGTAAAATATTAACTCAAAGTGTTTAAGTTGGGCTTTTACAAATGTAAGAAGTGCCTTTGGGTTCTTTTTGGCCAAAAGTGGCGTTAGCCCTTCGAACTCTCTAAATTTCTTTTCTAAGCTCCCGGATGAGTCGTCTAAGCACTCTTAGATCATTTTAGTATTTCCTGTAAAAGATGTTTTTGCTGTTTCATGTTTCCTCTATTAATGGATTATGGCTGCAGAACCGAAGCCTTTTAAGACACAGAAGAAGCTTTGCTGCTTATCTGTTCTTCATTTATTTTTTAATGACATGCAATCCTCTTTGTGATTCTTAAACATTCTTTATGTTGTCAAAAAGTTTCTATTTAAGGATTTGGGGTTTGCACATGTCAGGCCAGTGAAATTCAATCCAAAAACTTTGGTAGATTGCAGAAAACGACTGATTATATTTTTTTGTCGTGGCAGTCTTTTTAAATTAGAGTGGTCGTTAAAAAAATAGATTTTGGAACTACTCAGGTAATCTTAATCTAATATTAAAGCGACCTAGAAAAATAATTATAATACAAAAGCCAAACCAAAGGAAACATTAAGGGGTAAATACTTAGACAAACTTTATTGCCATTTTGTACACAGAGTGTAAACAAAAACAAATACAGCTCATTTTTTTTAAAGTGCAGCCGTGATAATGTAAGAAATTGTTGAGAGCTGTTCTTGGTCGCTGCCTCGGAGCGTCGCCATGGTAACCCAGATACAAATACTTTTAAATCTACTCCATGTAGAAAGGTTACTATGAAGCTTTTCTGTAAATTTAGGACAGTCTCATCTGCAGCCCTTTTTGACACATGTTGACATATATATTATTTTAATAAAAAATCCTGTTTGTTGGAAATTTTCCCTTTGATCCGTAGAGATGTTGGGAAACTGAACCAGCACCCTGAGTCACTCTTATTGAGCTAAAAAGATGCAACAATTGTAAACCAGCTATCTGAGCAAATACAGAAGCACAACTTATTAACCAGCTGCTAAAAGCTTGTTGTACTTTTAATAAAGTTAATAAAGAGGAAAACAAAGCAAAAAGTGGTAACTTCCTATAAAATAAGCATAATTTTGCAAGCGTTCAATCCTTTCTGTTGCTTTACTCTGAGATTTAAAGCCGACAATGATTAAAAAACTAAAAGGACTTTTTCCCAGTTGTTACCGTCTAACATTTAACACTGGTCAATATGAAATAGCATAACAACTAAAAACACTAATATTTTTTATAACAAGCACTTAAAAACTTCCAAAAAGTAATCACTCCACACAATTACTAAAGTATACGATCCAAGCAGACAAGCAGGCATAAACGATAAAGACCAACAAAGTTATAAAAGCATGAACATTTAAAATCAGCTAATATCTGTTAGAAGAGGTGGGTAGAGACTTATTGCATTTACATCAAATAATATCAGTACTTGGGTAACATGTCTGGCCACCATCACGGCTAACAATCCTCAGAGAAGAAGAAGCATGTTTCAGACCAAAGAGGCATCAGAGACACACACACACTTTATGCTTTATGTTATTTCTTTCTTTAACAGAAGCTCTATTGCTTCATTGTTATTTTTTTGAAGGGAAATGCAATAAACTGTGTCTTGTTATTGGAAGTATCCTACACGCTTCTAATCTTTTCAAAGCAAATATTTTTTAAATTGCCACCAAACAATTTTTACTCTTACTGCTCATTTCTTCCTTTGCTACTTCTCACTTTTACTTCAGTAAAAATGCAGTGAAGCAGTTCAACTCTTACTTAAATACTATTTACGGGTATATTGCCCACTTCTGATTAGAGAAACATTTAAAATATATTTGTGGACTTCAAAGTAAGCATTTCTATGTTTTTAAAATAGTTTTTAATGTAAAATGTGGTTTAATGGTTTAATGACATTAGAGAGATTGTTAAACAATGAATGCTGTCCAGGTGAAGGTAGGAGTAAACCATGGCTGGTTTGCAGTGACTGAGCACGAGTTGCCCCTCATGTTTCTGTGCAGCAAAGATCCTGGAGGGACGGTGGGCAACTGATTAAATATCCTCATCCTTTTAATGCAGTTTTTTTTAATCCGAAGTTGCAACTTTTTCTGCATTTATTGATTTTTATACATAATTATTGCAAGTAGTCCACCAAAAAACATCATCAGATTCTCAGTAATACAATCAAATCACTTAGAAATGTGTCGATATAAATGAAGATAAATGTGAGAACCCGTTTTTAGCAAAAACTAGACAGATAAAACCATGTTTTATGAAAATAAAAAGTTCCTCATGGAAGCCACTTTTTATACTTTGCTGGCACATGCATGCAGTTGTGACTAAAGCTGAAAAGCATCTGAACAGTTTGGGTTTCTAATCAGGAAAACAAGAGTGTTTGGTTGAATATTTTTCGAAGTTTTCCAAAGCGTCATCGTTATTGTGGAGCCAGAGGATTCTGTTCAGAATCTCATCAACGCCGACTGAACACCTGCAGTCAAACCTTGGTGCTTCTGAGGAACATCTGAGGAACAACGCTGTCATCCTGGACATGTTTTAGCTTTAATTCATAATAGTTTTCTTTTATTCATGAACAAAATGCATAAAGGTGAAATGTGGGGAAAATCTGAACTCGACTCAAGAGGAATTAAATTACGATGATAATTTTCAAGGTTTAAAATTACATTTTTACATATTTTATATCTTTCTTCCCTCCCTTTATTTTCAGTGTGGTTTCTATCGCCCTCTTCCTTCCTTCCTTCCTTCCTTCCTTCCTTCCTTCCTTCCTTCCTTCCTTCCTTCCTTCC